AGACCCCCGTAAATACACCCCAATAGCAATATCAATCACCGTCTATCATGTCCAACAGTAGCTACATCAACGCACTAGTACGCTCTCTCTACGAGGAGAGCCAGGAGCACAACGTTAGCACGTTAAGCTTGAGGGGACCGTTAATTGGACCAGAGAGTGTCCGTCATTCGTACGTTTAGATAGTTTAACCTAGTAGAGATTCGCACACATCTTGTAAAATCCCCATGTTTGTCACCCAACATCTCCAGTGTTGTGTTAACCTAACTCTCACAATTTTAGCCCCCAATACAATATAGCGATGAACAAGTTAATCCCATCTAGAACAGTCATCACCAGCTTTCATCCTAAAACAAGATTTGCAGCTGGTCCTCAGTCCGCTGGCGATTATTTCCAAGACGGAAACTGGGTTTTATGTCTTGCAGCAGCAAAGACATGGATTGGTTGTGCGTTAAGTGATGGGCAGATACACATATATGATTCTCGAAAAATGGAACTGTATCAATCATACGTTTGTTCCAATTTAGTTACGGACACAACAATAGATCACTATAACCAAAATATAATGGTGACAAGCTCATCAGACGGGAGTGTCACAATCTTCGATATCCGCGAGAAAAAGCCTGTTTTAGATTGGAAGTTAGAACGAGCTGACGAGGAGGCTTTATGCTTGTCTTTAGGATACGAAGGAAATCTTGTTGCAGTAGGGAGTAGCCGAGGGAAAATCCATTTTCTAGACGTCAGAAGTGGTCGGATGTTGGGAACGTACGAAAATGGCCATACGAATGAAGTAACGCAATGTTGCTTTCAACAAACGCTTTCATCTTCGGATGGTACCTCAATCACAACTCCTACACTGATATCGACCTGTGAAGATGGCTTGATTTGTCTTTACGACACCACGAAACCGTCGGAAGAGCTTGCATTGGAAAACATTATCAATGTCCAATCTCCTGTCAGAGAAGCCGGGTTTTTTGGACCCCGATCAGACGGAATCTACTGTTTGACAGGAGATGAAAGCCTCAAATTATACAACGCAAGTAGCAGTATTTGTCGTAAAGATTCAGGCCATCAACTACGAAATCTCTTGAGTCAACAGATGCAAACACATCTAGGCACAGCTTGTCCCATGGAGTACCTTGTCGATTGTAGTTGGGATAGCAGCACCAATCAGTTACTACTACTAGCGGGGAGTGCAACTGGAAATGCGGGTGTTTTCCAGGTAGGAGAAAACGATATTGCCCCAGTCTATCATCTTGGCGGTGGCCATCAAGGTGTTATTCGCGCGTGGAGTCGACAATCGTCATCAATCTTTCTGACAGCTGGGGAAGATGCAAGACTTTGTGAGTGGAGTAGTCAAAAGATTGCTCCAACATCGTCTACACTCAAAAGTAAAACTATTATTTCAAAAGGAAGCAATAACCGCAGAACCACCACTGAAAGACGTGGCAAAGTACGGCGCCCACGCAGTAAAATGACACACACTCCATATGGTTAAATGAGTGACTACACGTTACATCACTAGATTGTGAAGCGCCATGATTCTTGCGGCTTGTTGAACTCTCAATAGATTCGAGGTTTCTTGAATGTTCTATCACCATAAGCTTTATTCCTTTTCTGCAGAGGTTGGTTCGAGACCGGAGTTACGAAGTGAGGGTCCTCATTGCTTGGCTCTGGCGAACCCGAATTGCAAACAAGACGGCCCATCGTATCGTCCTCTTCTTGGGGAAAATTCTTGTGCTTCGCATCTTCGATCAAATCGGCAACCTTCCGGTTGTGCTCAGCCATCCGAGCTGCTATTTCGTAGCTTTTCGGTAGGTGCAACCGGTCAATTAAGTCGAGAGCTCTCTCAACTTTCCCCTCGTCCATCATACCGACAAAAAGCTTTAATGTTACTTTGTCCTGCAAAATGGATTTTAGGATTTCAAATTTAACATAAGCCTGAAAACTGACCCGAACAGATTGTACTCACCACTTGTGCGCATAATCCAACGTACTCCTCATCATCTTCGTCTATTTCCAACGCTCGTTTCTGAGACAAAGCGAGATTTGACCTAATGGAAAGCTCCTCCAACATCGTGCTGCAATCGCAAGGACGGCGGGTAAGACTTCGACGATACATCGTAGAAAAAATGAAGTCGAACTCACAATTTGGCTGGCGAAGATGTTGCGAAGGGCATCCTCAATCCTAGAGTGGCTGTGATGGGCCGGCGTGCGGCATCGGGATATGTAGAACTTCCCTTGAGAGGGACACAAACGAGCCTCCCATCTTGGACTGTTATCGGCCAAAAATTGTCTTCAGATGACTTTCTCAAACCAAGCGTATCCAACACAGGAATCCATTGCCAGTTTCTTCCATCGTTGCTGCAGGGGGTCAGCATCGACATAATTCCGTCTGAATCCATTGCCATTGGTGCACAATCACTGCTAAAGCCTGCCCAAGAAAGCGCGGCCCCTTTTCCAACGCATGATGCCGGCCCCTGAGATATGACAGTAAATGACGCGATGTCCCAGAGAACATAGTCTAACTGTTGTGTCTTATCGACCAACGGAAGTGACCTGTGGCAAAATACAATCAAGAAACGCGATCTGCCGGCAACTGTTACTGGATCTCCATTCAACCATAAGATTTGACCTTGATTCCCCCCGGAAGAAAACAAACGGAGAAATCTTCGGCTGCAATATGAACTCGCAAAGTTGAGCCATAGAGAAGACTTTATCAATTGTAGCAATGTACTCTTACCTTGTCACAACTGCTGCCCAGCCGGAGCCGCATGCAGAGCCAACAACACGTTCACCAGTTGGAAGGTTCAAAAACCAGTCTTTGTCACGGAGGGCTCCAAGCGTTTCAAATCGGTAGAAAAAGATGCTAGATCCTGTTGGCTTCGCATTTTGTTCGATTCGCTTCCTTTGACTTCTCTTTACTGCCTGTAGTGTCTGTTCGGATATTTGTAGCCCTCTTAGATTTCTCTCGTCTAAACCGTCGTCGTCATCTTTTTGAAGATCAGATGCAAAAATTGCTCCATCTTCCCCCAAAGATCCGACAATAAATCCAGTGTTATCAGTAAAGCTAACCGGGCGCTTGTATGCAGAGTCAGTGAAGCTGATATCAACCGTGCTGCGATGACTTGCGCCTTCAGTTCCGTTTAGAATAGTCACGGATCCGATGTGATTCCAGCAAAGATATCGACGAGCCAAATCCAACGGAGTGGACGAGACTGAAAATGGTGGCTGTGGCGTTTCTTCTCTTACCAGTTGAGAAAGCAAATTATTGGGTGCATTGATCTCTTCTGCTTCGCTTTCGTCTTCGCTTCCCAACTCTTCGTTTGAACCTTTCTTCTGCTCCCCTTGGCTGAATCCAGTTGGCGTGTCAGATTTTGTCCCATTCCGGCTAGGGCTGTCAACACTTGCTTCATCGTCTACATACTCTGAGTGAGCACCTTCGTGAACACAGAAACCATGTTCGGAGCTACTCTTTTTTTTCAGTTCGTTACTGCATGCTAGAGTTTCGGAAATGTGATTCCGTGGAGAATCTGAATCCTTTGGTAATTTCGACTCGACGGAGCGCTGTTCGACGTTCAATTGAATGCAAGTTCCTTTCGTACAGGCTGCATAAATACTCCCCATTTCCCTCGCATGGAATGCAGTAACAACCGAAGTCGAAGTGATGCTCGCAACCGAACTCAAGGCAAATTTGTCGAAGTCACATTTCCAGAGCACCATTCTACAGTCACGGCCACTGGAAATCATAAAATCACTGCTGAGAAAAACCAATGAAACGACTGGTTCAATGTGTCGGTTGGTATCGCAATCTTTCACTTCCATGATTCGGCTTTCTTTACCCAAATAGTGCACCAACGGAGTAAGTCGACCAGGCGTTGCCAATACGTCCCCATGGAGTACAGGACGATAAGATCGTTCACAGGCATCTGCGCCATGGATTTCCCCCGCGTCTTGCTTGGCAATACACCTGTTTGTTTCAAACTGCGCAAGCTTGAATGAAGGCATTTTGTGGTCCACAAGATCTGTATTCCACAAGCACAACTTGCCATCCATGGACAAGCTTACAATTTGAGATGAGTCTGGACGCTGACATACACCCCGGATGCCGCATTGCCCATGTGCATCTCGGCTCTCTCGCTCCAAGACACGTGAGGACATAGAATCTATTGTAGTTACGTCGACAATGCTCATTCCTGACTCGTGGGCAACAATCAACCAAAAGGTGGGTGATGTTCCTCTCAAAAACTGCAGATCTCGGATTGGAGCATCAAATTGAGGCCCTCCGACAGAAGCTTTGTGACAATCGGAGAACCCTTGAGATAAAAGGTCGTCGTCATTTGCTTTTTCATTGATTTCAGCAAAAGGGTGTCGAGACGCCTTTTCCAATTCGAACGTGTCATAGTGAAATATTTCAATCTCGCCGCTATCGAACCCGACCGCAACTCGTTTACCATCTTCCGAAACTGCAACGGCGCGGACGCAGTCATCAAAGCGCTGCACAGCATGAAATGTGTTGTCTTTTTCATCAAGACAAGTGACTGTGCCATCATCGCCACCATATGCTAGAAGAGTCTTACATGGAAGACTTGCGAATCTCCGAGGCTCCTCGGAGCCATCAACATCGTCCAAACCCAATGAAAAATTGGCCTGCATAAACATCATGGTTTTGAGAGTTGTGATGCATGGCAATGCTGCGAAATATTTTCCGTGGTGTCAATTTTCTCGAACGTAGATTTCCACGTACGTGTACATGTACGTGTACGTGTACCACATGATGGTTGAAAATGGCGCGTTGATTTAGGGGGTCCTTGGCTCAAATTAGGGGGATGATACTCAAATATTCAATATGTAACACTTTTTTTATTTTTAAAAATGGAAGACTGAATGCCTGTGGCTCTATTTCTATTCATGATGCAAGCCGAGAAGCGAAAGACTCATCATAACAGTAGTCACTTATCGACAAACTCTGTAAAAAAAATCAAATGCGCTGTGCTTGGTGGAGTCTGTGCTGGGAAGACGTCTATTTTACGTCGATATTTCAACGAATGTATTCCAAGTCCAGGATCACACCGCAACCCAACCCTTGGATCTGATTTTTTTTCCCGAAGCATAAAATGTTCTATCGACGAGCATTCAGATGATATAACTGTGAGTTTGACTATCTGGGATACTCCTGGACGGGAGAACTTGGCAAGCCGGAGGTCAAAATATCGAGCAGCCTTCAGCGATTCTTTCTTTCGTTCCCTCGATGCTATCATCCTGGTGTATGATGTTAGTAGCTCGACCTCTTTTACGCATGTCCTTCAATGGCACGCGGATCTTACTGAGAGAATGAAGCGCCTGGTCGATTCGGGTGCGCGCGATCGAGTGCTTCCTATATTAGTGGCAGCCAATAAAATGGACATCATGAAACGACGGGACACGGAACAGTCAAGGCCACAACATGCAAAGAATAAACGAGACGTGATTGGCCTGAGGGGAAAGAATTTTCGGGGGAAAGACTCAAGATACGAGTACACAGTAGGTCAGACACCAACAATCAGGAATATTGCATCAGCATCGGGAGAATCAAAGGGCCACCGGCATCGATTTGAGCTTTCCACATACATGGGAACTGGCGACCAGATTTCATACTTGGAGCAGTTCTTTAACAATGAAGTTCGGGGATCTTATATCGAGTCTCTTCTCAGCACTGAAGATGGATCGCATCCAGACATGGAAATGGTTCTGCTTTGGTGTCGTCGAAACCAGTTGATTCATCATACTGTGAGTGCACTGGACGGTAAGTACTACTGCTAGAAAAATAGTTGCAATAACTTCCTAACAATTTCTTCTTTCTCGCCCATTCTATCGATAGGGACTGGGATTGATGACTTGATGAAAGCGATGACAAGATTGGCAATGCAATCACGACAGGACTTAGCAATAGAGTCACGTAGCAAAGATACGTTGAGTTGGTCGCTGAATGAGGAACTCGACCTCCATCGACGTTTCAACGAGAGTAAGAAATGCCCTTTTCCATTTTACAGATGTTGTAATTAGCACTTGCACTCTTGTTCGCACGTCTGGCCTGGATTATACCTATCGACATACAATACACTTATGAGTACGAAAAACAATCATGGCCCATCGCCACAATTGCAAGACAAAGTTGGTGGACACAGACAAAGAACAAAGGAATTAATTTTAACGGCAGTAATGGGTTCCATTTCTTTTCTTTCCAGTATTCATCCATCTCACCAAGTGTACGGCTTTACGATTGTCGCCCTCCCCAGCACCACCTTCCCACATCCGACGACCTTGCTTCTCAAGTTTTTTGGCCGCTTCAACTGCTGCATCAGAATGGAGACCGATCTGTGAAGGATCACGAGGCCGAGAATGGCCGCGCGAAATACTAGCTTCGCGTTTTGCAGCCTCACTTCGTGATCGTCTTTGCTTCTTCGTCTGCGTCTTGCTAATTTCAGTCCCTGGTGAATCGTTAGAGTTGTCCATTTCTACATCCCTGCTGACAGATATTCCTCTCTTTCTTCCACGTGTTTTGTCAAGCGATCGGCCGCGTTTGATCATGATGCTTGCATCAACTCCAAGCCTCTCCATCTTGTCCTTGACCACATCCTTATTGCGGTCACCACGATCATGTTTGTCTTTTGTCCTTCCACGAATGCTTCGGGGAAGAACTGGCTTATTCTCGGAGCGATTTGCTTGAGATATATTTTTTATTATTTTCTTTCTGTCTCTGATTGCAGCTACTGCAGCTTCCTCCTCGCTGTCAAGGTCAGAGTCTGGTTCCTCTCCCATTCGCTGTGCAGCAAGTTCCTCGAGTAGCTGTTCTTCTTCGTCCTCCAGTTCCGCAAGTTTCTTCTCAATGTCAGGATCAACAAAGTCAGCGATATTCTTTCCGTCCATGATCTCTGGAATCGCATCGAATCGCCAATCCTTATCCTTTAGATCGTATTGCTCTCTGTAATCGGGTGCCCAAACACCAGGACCGCCATTTTCCCACATAAGATCACGTGCTGTTTTCAATTGCCCAGAAACATCCATGGTGGCATCCTCGTCATTTTTGTCGATGTCATCGACAGTTTCAGCATATCCTTTTCTAGAGCGCTTCGGCTTGTGGTCAGCAGATCCAATTCTACCATCGGCAACTGCCTGCTTGACGGAATCCGGAATATGAGCCTGCCTATGGACACCATCTCTGGGGGTGGGATGAAAGACTTGCAAGCGATTCATTACCCCATCCACCTTTTTCCCTGCAACTCGAGCATCTACACGCTTCTCCAACAGTTTGTCGCAAGCGGCGGCTTTGACAGCAGACACTCCATGCTCAGATATGTTTGACATGGTCATAATGGAACAGTTGGCGTCTCTACCTAGATCTTCTATCATCTCCCGTTTCTCCGGTTGCACTTCGTCCCATGGCAATTGATCTACCTTATTGACAATGATGATGAGTTGTTTGTTTGCAAACAGCGGCTTAATGCTACGGAAAAGGGAGCATTGTTGTTCGACAGTATACCCACATTGCTCGGAAGGGTCGCAAAAGTAAAGAACGCTGCATGTCAAGTGTGCAAGAGCAATAATGGCCTGCATTTCAATCGTGTTTCTTTGCTCAAGAGAGTGGTCCAGAATACCAGGCGTATCGATCACTTGCCAGCGAAGATACTTGTAGTCACAGTGACCAACAAAGAGAGATTTCGTTGTAAATGCGTAAGGCTGGACATCGACATTTCCTCTTGTGATTTTGTTCATAAAACTCGATTTTCCCACATTTGGAAGTCCACACATTAGAATGGTGCGAGTATTAGGGTCCAATGAAGGCAAGCGAGAAAGATGTTTCCTGACTTCTTCCAGGTAGGCCAGTGAAGCCTTCTGACGCTTCAGCACAGTGCACATGCGTCCAAGTGCTGCGCGCTTGAGGCACTTGCAGCGATAGGCGGAGTCTGCATATTTAACCATACGAATCATATCTCGCGCGATTTGATCAACTAGCGAGCGGGCAGTATTTAGCTGACCTAGGGCAAGCTTGTAATGGTCTCTATCGTATAAAGTGTTGCATAGATCTGCGTAGAATGGGTGGATGTCATTAAGCCGCGGAAAGTCAGTTAGCATCTTGCTCAACCTCTCAGAAATTGTTTGCTGAGTAAATTTAATCTTCCGCATGCTACACACAGGACATTTTCATAGTTAGGAAAAAAAATCAATCAGAGACTTTCACCAGGAAGTAGGGAAGGGTGGTACTCACTAGAAGGAACGAATGCGATTGATCTTGTAGCCTGGATGAATTACAGTTGGAGTCCGGCGTTGGGTTCGCATCAAGACAATGTCGATGAGATCCGGTGCCGAGGGCACAGGGCTCATCTTTTTGAAGTTGTATACGGGCATGATTTCCGCTCGTTCGAATGCACTTTGGCGTCGAAAGAATTTGTGAGCATTAACGAAAACGGTGAAAAATGAGATTTTTGAACTGGTGGCTGCTGAAAAAGTGCGCGCTTTTGGCGTCTGTCCGCCGGGTATCAACGAAATGGCTTTCGAGGTATTTCGAGAGAGACAATTTCCCATCTACAACCATGAATGAACTTGACCATGCTTCTGTTGACCCAAGTTCTGTTTCTAAAATAGAATCGCCCAGGGTTCCCTTGATGTCGTTTGCCACAAAAGTTCCGGTTTCAATGTTGGATTCAATTGATGAAATTACTACAAGAGAAAGCCCCTTTGGTCAGCGTAGTGTTGTAGGGACAATTACATTGCTTCAGAATTGCGTCATTGTATGGGTCGGATGGGGGGAGTCTGAAGAAATTCTCCACGACCATGACATATCCAATCTAGATTTGCAGTCTGCATTGGGTCAGTCTCCAACAGTGAGCTCGCAGCAGAATAACCGGAATTTGCCGACAAATACCAAAACAAGAGTGTCGCTGGGGAAGGGAAAACCACCACAGGGACAGTGCACAGTGGCGATGCCGCGAACTATTGCGTACAAAGGGGCTTTCGCCACAGGAGCCAAGGATCTACCTTGTTCACAAATCATTGGGGGGGGGAGTACTGATGCTCAGGTTCTGGCGTCTCAGATGGCGTCTAGACTTAGTGCTAAATTGTCAATGGCAATATTCGTTTCTTGCCAGCTCGCAAACGGAATCAGTGCTCAATCAGATCAATCGTCCAGTGTCCCGCCCTTGGCAGCAGCTGCTGCCGAAAAGGAAATAATCAAGGTCATACAATCGGAGCTAGCCGTGCAGATATGTTAATGATAGCCAAAATTAGGTGATTCGGTGGTAACTTCGAATCTCGTTTCATATGGAATCAATCGCTCAACAGCCGTCTATTTAGATACTCTTCTTGCTCCAAAAGGAGAGAGGTGTTTCTGGAGATGTGTTTCTGTTCTCAACATGGCGAGTGACCCTTGTACTCTGCGCTGAAACTACCTTCGCCTGCAGTAAGGGCTCGAATCGTGTTTGCATATCCAATTATTCCGGAGAGAGGGACATCACCCAGGACCAAAGAGTTCTCTTGCTCACTGTCTCCTGCAACAACATCGCTAACTGTGCCTCTTCGAGATGTCAAATCAGAAAGAACGTCACCGACCATGGCATTCGGAAGCGATATCTCGATTGACATGGTCGGCTCCAAAACAGTACAACTGCCTTGGTTTTGTGCTAGCGTAACTGAAACAGCGTTTGCAGACGCTGCTTGTAGGGCACCCGGTAAGCGCTTGAGCGCAGCCAGTCCCCCTTCCGCATCAACATTTTCAATATGACAAATCACATTCATAAGTGGTGACGCTTTCAAAGCTCCCCTTTTGAGAGCGCCAAGGCAGCCTTGGACTAGAGCTCGAGCTAAATCGCTCTTTTGCAGCAGCAGCAGTTCCGATAGATCAGCGTTCATACCTAAAAACTCTCTCGCTTTGCTTCCTATTGTCACGGAAGGAGTTGTCAACATCACGCACGAAGAGCTCTTCTCGTGTGACACGGGTTTGAGTAAGAGGTGGACTCTTGCTTGTAGTCTGGTGCCACCAATTGTGCGGTCATACTCTAACAGGCCTCCACTCGTTTCAATTTCTTCCTTGACACTTTCGTGGTATGCGACCAAGGGGGGTCCAACCATCACCCTAAGTTGGTGCTCACGAAACAACCTGTCGAGAGTGACTTCAATATGCAATTCCCCCAATCCAGAAAGCAAAGTCGAAGATTCTGTTTCTTCAACAACGAGACTTGGATCTTCTATGCAAAACAATTTTAATGTTTCTGAAAGGCGCGATTGGTCTGATGCAGTCTCCGCTTCCAGTCTCACAGTCATCACTGGTTTAGGGGATGCAACCCCCGCAAGATACATTTCATCAGTGTTCTGACTCTTGCTGTTGTTTGACTTCGATGTTTTGTCAGCGGCGAATCTTATGGTGTCACCTGTGACGACTGTCTTGAAACCCACAATCGCGCAAACATCCCCGCTCTTGCAGACACCATCCTCAATTTTCTCCAAGCGCCCACCTGCCAGCTCAAGCATACCACCTATTCGTTCTGAACGGATTATCTTCAGCGTGTCACCTGGTGCTGGGGGTGATATAACCTGTACCGTATCGCGTTCAGACAGCTTCCCCGAATAAATGCGAGCAAAAACAACTCTGCCATCACCGCTGCCTCCGCGACCTTTCATGTGCACAACTTTGAAGGCCAGGGCCAGCAAACTTGGGTGTAGCGGATGCCCTAGAGTAATTTGTGAAGTATTTGGCTTGATTTCTTTCTTACCATGTCCGTTGTGCACAGGAGTCGTAGATTCTCCATTCAAGGCAGGCGTTTTGCGTTCAAGCGGGGATGGGAGCAAGTCTGCGACAGCATCAAGTATAGGCTCTATTCCTTTCCCCTTCAGTGCAGCCGCAGCTAATACTGGAAGTACCTTGTGTGCAAGAGTCGCTCTCCGCAGTGATGCACGGACCTGTGCGTTGCTTGGCGTTTCATCGTTCAGGAATAGTTCTTCCATCTCCACATCCATCTCAGCCAAGGATTCAATTAGCTTTGAACGGGATGCAACGGCCATCTCTGTGACTTGGCAGTCTTCAGCATCTCGTCCAATGGATTCTCCCTGGAGTAAATTTATTACCGTCGGGGCGCTCTTGTCAATACTTCCTTCCTTCCTATCTGGCCAAACCAACGCACGCATATGCACAAGATCAACGATTCCACAAAAGGCACCATTTGTCTCCCTTTGTTCATCTGGAGAATCGACAGCACATGAAACCAAGTCTGGTGGGCTTTCGTTTTCAGAGCGTTTCGAGAAGAGAGGAAGCTGAATGGGTAGAGGAAAAGCCCCCGGTAGCTTTTGGCGGATCGTGCTTATCGCGTTTGCAAAGTTTCGTCCATCTTTATCCATTTTGTTGATCACCGCAATGCAAGGTAGTGGATCGTGTGAAAAACGGCGAAAATCAGGATCTTGCAAACGATCATGATTATTAATAGAAGGGGTCTTTAGAGCTCTCCAAACTGTCTCAGTTTGGGGCTGGACTCCTTTTACAGCGTCTAGGACTAGCACTGCGCCATCGAGCACAGCCACGGATCGATTCACTTCAACACTGAAATCGACATGGCCTGGAGTGTCAATCAGTTGTATCCTTACATTATCGTTTTGCTGCAAATCATCGCCTTTTCCATTGTTATGCCAGCCCCAAGAAAACGCAATTGCGGCGCTCTGGATAGTGATGCCTCGCTCCCTTTCTGCTGGTAGAAAATCTGTGACAGTATCACCGTCGTCAACACTGCCTGCTCGCCTAACTACACCAGCCAAAGCAAGCATTCGCTCGGTCACCGTCGTTTTTCCGGCATCGACATGGGCAAAGACCCCGACGTTCCGCAGATGCCTTAACCTATGAATTTGTCGAGACTCTTGCGTTTCACCGACCGTATCTGAAGAGGAAGCATTATACCTTACAAGCAGCGTTGCGACTGGACTGCTTCTACACAAACCATCAGTTCCATTCTTCCAAATTTTTTTCAGAGTATCAACTCTGACGAGGGCGGTTGGAATCTGAGGAAGGCGATACATTTGAGGGATCACTCGTCTATCAGCTGATTGTCGGTTTGTTTGATATAATTGGCTGACAGCTGTACATACGAGTAAATGTTTACAAATTGCAGTCCATTGAATCACCTTTAATCTAATCTTTCGAAATCGACGCGACGCGACTACATGGAATGCTATGTCTGTACCTCGTCAGTCAGAACAGAAGATATTGCCTTCAAGAACAATGGATCCAAAAAAGTACCAGATTAACGTGATTTCACGTCGTGTGTGCATCCTACGACGAAACTGTCTTTTTAAGAGTTGAGCACCCAACTGCCCGTACACCAGCACGGACAGAGAGCACCTTCATGCTTCGTTGAAACATCGACGATACAGGTACACACGTACAGTACCTTGTTGGGAAGTTGATATTACGTTGATCAACAACGAGGATATCATATCGCGGCGTTTTCATTAGTGGTCTTGACACCTGACACCCTCGAGAAAATAGCGATTGATTGGAACCCTTCTGAGACAAATTCGCACAAAATCAACTCCGGTCACTGGCGCAGGAAGATTGAAGTCAGCCCTCTTGCGTTCTCTAGTGTCGCATTGTCCTGATTCCTTTAATTCATCCAACCCATTCAATCATCCTTGATAGTTGCTCTTATACTTATGCTCAACATGTCACATGAAGTTCAAAAGCCTATTTTTGCAGCCGCATCAGCAAACCACCAGGTAACTTGTTGTACCGTTTTGACTTGAAAGGCATTATGATTGCATGGTGTCTCACGTCGCTCCTTCCGTTATTTCATACAGGGGGATGATATTGATTTCAACGAGATCTTCTCAGAATACTTCACAAATGAATTTGAGAACCCCATCGATGCCTATACTGGCACAATGGGCAACTCTTCAGGAGGCGTTGTGGCGATGCAACAAGTTGTCGCTGGATCACCGGGTGCCCAACATTCATTGGCTGTGGCCGGGGCAGAATCGCTCCCTACAGGTGGGATAAGAACAGCTTTTCATTCCGCAGCTGCGGCAGCTGGTGTTGCTCCTGGAAGCCAAGGAGGCCACTATCAACCGACGAAAAAGGCAAAGGTTGAGTCTCATGCAGGGATTGCCTTTTCTCAACCGGGTGGATTGACTAGTCGGCTTGGTGTACCAATGCCACTACTACAAGGTCAAAATGGCTTACAAGGTATGGCGGCGCAACTAGGTGCGAATCCAACAACTGCCGGCGTAGCACTTCCAGTAGGTGTAGGTATTCGATTGGGGGGGGCAGGAGGGGTTGCTCCCACCACCGCACAGCACGCTGCACGGACTGGTGGTCCTGGCTTTCTTTGGGGTGGGCCACAAGCACCCGGGATATCAAATCAAGCAATAGCAGAAAGACGGCAACGAAATAGGGAGCACGCCAAACGCAGTCGTGTACGGAAGAAATTCATGTTGGAATCGCTCCAAGAACAGGTCTCGTCCCTACAATCCGAAAACCAGCGACTTCGTACACTGATTCAGGATAATATTCCTGAGCATGCGCAGAAAATAATATCCGAATGCTGTTCAAAGAATACCCTTTTCGGAGACAAAGTTACTGCACAATCAGAAGAAAAGAGAGCAACCGCGCTTGTGCGATCCGATTTTCAACTCATGGAAAGTTTGACTTCAGGGCAACAGAATTTTGTACTGTCAGATCCACGTTTACCGGATAATCCTATCGTGTTTGCGACACCAGGATTCTACAAGCTAACAGGGTATTCTCAGGAACAGGTTCTTGGACGGAACTGTAGATTCCTACAGGGTCCAGGTACAAACCCGAAGACTGTTGACATCATCCGCAAGGCTATCGCGACTGGATCGGATTGCACTGTATGTATCCTGAATTACAAGGCTGATGGGACTCCTTTCTGGAACCAATTCTTTGTTGCTGCGTTGAGAGATTCCGACAATTGTATTGTGAATTATGTAAGTATTCTTCAAAAAGTGAATCGGCATGTGATTTGTGAAATGGGAAATTCTTAATATTTTTCGATGTTTGGAAAACAGGTTGGCGTGCAAACAGAAATCGAACCGGATGCCGGTGCCAATGCCCTTGAAGATCGGGTAAATGCTGTCTTACCACTCCAGAATAAGGATGAGGAAGATGGTGACGATTGCGACGGTTCAATGTTGTAGGGTTTTCTTTGTTTCAATTTTCAGGTAGTCTCCAGCAAGACGTCTCCTGTAGTAGCTTATCGCTTCGTACCAGGATAGGATAGCGATCCACAACGTGTCTGCAAAATGTATCAACAGGCGCCATCCGAAATGTAGAAAGCGAGTCACTTTTGGTGTTCCGGTGTCAGAAGATGTGCTAATTTATTAGTTATTATGGATTCTTTGTCGCATGACACCACTAACATATCCTGATGTGTCTGCTATTATTCCACTTCGTAGACATACCGGCACAGCACCCTGCATCCTTTCATAATTATACCGTCCTGAGTTGTGCTTGTAACAATAGAGAGCGAAAAATTGCCAATCGGTAAATATGTACAATACAGGTATTGGACCGGTACGTACCAGGTACAGTACTGTACAGTACAGTGTACAGTACCGTACCGTACCGTACCGGGTACAGTACAGTGTACAGTACAGTACCGTACCAGGTACAGTACAGTACAGTACCGTACCAGGTACAGTACAGCACAGCTCGATCAAGTTTAGACTGAATCCCGTAAAAAATTCGTAGCCCTGGACAAAAAGTGACGATCGATCGAGTCGGATAGGGTTTTGACTAAATCGACTACATATCCGACCGAAATTCTGGAACAAGAGGCAATCAATCTTGTGCGATACGACCTCCTTTGATTACAAATCTTAAAATTTGAATATGTACTATTTGCTTACAGTGTATAGACTAGAGGTGTATCCATTTTCAATTCCAAATTTCGGTCTAGAATGCATGGAATTTCGAAACATGCAATCAAGTCACCTGAAATGTTACCGTGGGTTTGGTACTTTACGATACGTACTATACAAGTTTTTTTGATTTGTGATATCGGGGGTCCCTGATCCCGGATCAGGTATATATAAGTCCCGATAAGTCCCCAAAAGTAGCATGACTTGTGATGACAAGTTATCATACTATCTGACATGTAGTGACGTACTGTTTTTTCTAAATATTTGAGAACGAGGCAATAAGCTAAGAAACACCTCCTTTTGAAGTTGAATGATGCACATAAGGATTCTGGAAAAACGTCAATAACACCCATCTGCGTTTGTTCAATGGCTTGCAACCGCAAGCCCAATCCACAGTACAACGCAAAACACAGCTCAACCTAACCATATGCAACGTTAAAAAATGGACCCTGATAACATTGACCGCAAAATGATGTCCCAATTGGGATCCACTGAACAAAATGGCTCAATAACACCTGAAGAGAGTTCTCTGGTGGTTCCCAAAAATAGTGATTTATCGAAATCATCGAAATCTGATGAAGGGTGCAAGATGAGCAATCACCAGAAAACATCTGATGATGGTTTGGAGTCCTCTTCAACCAAAGAGTCCTCTTCTACGCCGAGCCCTCCATCCCAGGAACGGTCTCCCCTTCACAACACAAAACCAAACGAACAGCCTAGCAAAAGCAATGAGAAAGAAGAAAAAGAGAAAGGAGAAAAAGACTCAAAAGAGGAAAAGAGCAAGCTGCGAAAGGGAAAGTGGACTGTAAGTTTATGTGGAGGTTGCTATCCAATAGTTTAGCTTCTGTTGTATTGATCTCGCTACTTTTCGTTTAGGTTGAAGAAGAGCAATACACGGCTCATATAATCAAGTGTTTCAACGATGGCTTGCTAACGCTACCTGAAGGTTCCACACTTCGTGGATATTTGGCGGATCGTCTGAACTGTAACCCAATGAGAATAACTAAGAAATTTACTGGTGCTTGTGGTCTCACGAGGCGGGTTTATCATCTTCACGACCGGCGAAATGCTTCGCCCGCGGAAGTTGAAAGGGCTAAAGCCGAACTGAACCATTTAGAACAACGCTTCCGTATGCGTGTGGAGCAAGAGCAATCAGGACTACCATTGTCTCATAGAGATGGAATCTTTCACTCCTCACAGGTTCAAAGCGGAATCAGCCCAAGTATCCCACTTCAGCATCACACGCCAGCTACCTATTTGCACCCGTGGACCCAGTCTCCAGGAGGAGGTAGACAACTGCATACACGTCAATCAAGTCAGTTCCCTTTCTCCAGCCAAGTCGGGCATTGGATGCTTCCAAATCCTGTGGACACACTCCCAACAGCTTCAATCGCAAACACTGTAATGTATGTCTATTGAACAATAATCTCATTTCTTGATCAGCGTGAACTCACACCAGATTCTCTTTCATTGTTCCAGTCACGGTGACACGTCTGCTCAATTTCTCACAAATCTGTTGACTTCATACTTGGCCCAAGTAGCTGCTGCTTCTATGGCTGCTCCATCGACGCTACTGCCGCAACAGCAACAGCAACAACCACAAATAAGTAAACGACTGGAGACCACGGTGCCACAGAAAGGGTGTGCGCATGAGGAGAAAGTGGGAACTAAATATGAAAATCTTTTGAGTGCTCATGAACAACTTTCAAGCCAAAATCCCACTGGACGACTCTCCAGTGCAAACCAGCCTCGTAAGGGAAGGAGCCCCGAGAATGACGTGCATTCCCACCTCTCCCCTGTACAGCAACTTCAACGGGGTTACGAAGCCCACCTCGAATCGCTAAGGAAATCATCTTCGACCGAACCCGTTTTTTATTCGAAGGTCCCAAAGCCTGATACATCCATGGTGAAGAAACTAGCGTTGAAAGCAACGAAAGATGACAAGGGGACTACGAAATCCCAAGGAAAGAGAAGCGAAGACGATGAAGGTACAATCCTTCTATTAGACTTCATGAAGTCGGCTCAACGGGCTTGTGGAGACCCTCCTACGGATACTAAGAGAAGAGGTGACAAGACTGCATTACGCGCTGCAGCTGTTCCAGAAAAAGGATATTCCGACCTTGATCCTCCCAGCAGCACAAGTGCAAATGAATTACGGATTCAGTCGTCGGAAAATCCCGAGCGGGAGAAAAAGTATCGCTTGCAGCCTGTAGCCGTGACTGATACATCAACGATGTCGAGATCGGAAACATCATCCAGGACGTCATCCCAGCCAACGGAATCGTCGAGTTCTATTGAAGATTCCGATTCCAAATCAGACAAGACAGATCCTTCGTCTGGTGAAGAATCGGAAAAAGAGTCTGCGGGTAACATTAGGTATACAGGTCCACCTCGAAAACGATTGAAAAAGAATTCTTCTGTGAAGGAGTTTACGGCTCAGAACCTCGCAGAACACAGCAGGATGATGGACAAACGAAATACCGTCGAAGACAAGGATATCGATAACTAACTGGCAATAATCTATGACACGAAAATTCATGCTATCATGCAGCATCGCATCAATGATATTTGTCAATTTTGCCCGATGTGCTGTTCGCAGAGTTGTGTCCATATTTATCCTTGTAGTGATCATTCTCTGCTTCCGTTTTGCGCTTGAACCTAGCCTGGAACGTTTCCTGGTTATCCTGAATTCTGTGCACGATGTTCTCTAGCCTGAAGTCACAAGGACTTTGAAGAACCGAGAGCAGCCCGGCATCATTTGCGTCTTTGTACCTGCTATCATCATTCCTGTCGCTTCCAATGTCATCGTACACAGTGCCTTGAACGACTTCAGAAATGTTCAAAGACGCAATCATCTCGTGGGTTACAGTGTATGGGGCATCGATCAGCACATCGTCAACAAAGCGACATCCAAGGACGCTTAAGACTCTTTCGTGCAAATTCAACAAAGGAAAATTGGCCCCCATTTGTCGGTTGACAACTCCATCACCGTGGATTCCAACAATCAAATAATCCCCCCTCTGAATAAAGGTAGAGTTAGCCGTTGGAAAAAAAGCAAAAGTCCATTAATATGTGAACCCACCGATTTTGCCGCCTTTAAGATGGCAACGTGGCCCGGATGAAACAAGTCCCAAGCGCCATCAATATAGATCACCCGCATATCTTTTGTAGGTGGCTGCACGTCAGCACTGAACAACTTTAGCATTCTGCTTGTCGTCAAGAACTTTGACTGGCTACCCAGACCACCATGAAGGTGGTGTTCCTTCGTGAGCAGCAGCATTCTACCAACTATATCTGTAGTCGAAACGCCTTCGGTACGTGGGATTGTCCTAAACTTTCCAGCAGCCTTTGCCGCTGCATATACATCCTTGCCATCGACAAAGCACGGGTCATCTCCATGGACAACATAATCAATGGAGTATTTATCAATAACATAGTCAAGATATTCCTTGTTCATGATGTAGGGACAGTCAGGAACTACTTCATTGACAAATTTGCACGCTGAAACCATCGTATGTCTTTCATCATCATTCATGAGCGGTTTCCCCTTGCAACTTGTAATGGACTTGTCAGAGTTGACTCCTACAATCAGGTGCGTTCCTAATGATTTTGCGAGGCGGAATGCATTCATGTGGCCATAGTGCATCATATCAAAAGCTCCGTCAAGAAAGATACGAACCTCGTTGGTACTGCCCGATTCATCTCTGAGAACTTGTTCTTGGAGGTAATGTAGCTTCTCCCGAGCCACCTGCAACTCCGTAGCCAACCGATGACGTTTGCGAGAGTGTCGCTTTCCAAAGAAGAGGTAATATGATAGGAGCGTTAAAGAAATGATAACGATTGATCGGGAGGTATCGAGAGCTGAAGGGACAAAGCTGTCTGTTGCTCCAACCAGTAAAAGCATTTTCTCAATCAACTCAACGAGCACTGACATCAATGGAGACTCGCTAAGGAAGATGATGAAAGCTTTGCAGGCAAGAAGTATGCTCGCCACCAAAGGTACCTCATTCTCGATTTCACTTGTCATCTCGTGCAGTGTTGCAATGGTCGGAAACTGTTGGAATATTGAGCTCTCAGTAGACGTACTGACGCACAGACGCCTTCACTACTCCGCTAGCTGGGACTCCAGTCACGACTGGAGATCGATGCTCTAGCTCTCTTCGAATTTCACTAGCTTTCTTAGAAATTTGATGCAGCAACTCTTTCCAAGTATTATCAAGTAGTGATAACCTCACAATTTATTAATTCGATTATTTATCAACCAACTTCGTATAAACTACCTTTATCGACTCAAAGCCCAATCCAGAGGCCTTGCTCCTGTGGAGCTGTCTCAGGATTTTAACACGCTCCCTCTGCGAGTCTAAAGGGCCCATTGCATGGTACAAAGTACTCGAAACGGCCCACTGAATCAAGATCCGTACATCCCTCGTCGCCGTCGAAGAAACAACCAAGTTCAGAACATGGCTGACAATCCTCCTCAGGGAGGCAACGACCCAGACCCAGAAGTTGTGGAGGAAAACCAACAACAACCTGCGCTAGCAGGAAATGATGATGAAGCCGCGCAAGCCAATCAACAAGGCGGACAACAGGCCAACCCTCCGGTTCCCGATCTCCTAAACAACTTGATCGCAGCAGCAGCCGTTGCTGCAAACCCATTCAATCAACAAGGTCAACAACAAGGTCAGCAACAAGGTCAGAACGCCGGTCAACCGCAAGGTGGAACCAACAATGCTGCGAATCTACTAGGGCAGCTATTGGCTCATCCACAAGGAATGAATCTACTAGGTCAGCTCATCACAAGTGCGACCAATCCGAATGCGACCACTCCGACTACCCATACTCCCCAATATGGAGCGTTTCCATCGACTTCAGGAACTACTCCTATCGACATTGGAACTTCCTACGGCATCAAACAGTACTCAAAGGCAGTCGATTCCCTCTACTCTAGTGGTGAAGACAAGTTTGATTTGCAACCAGCAAGACTACTAAATTTCATCGAGAGAATCCAAACTAGAGCCCTTGAGGCGGGATGGACCATCATCTTCCAGGTTCAAAACTCCGCAAGAAACAACGCCACTGACGACTTCCTGCAACTCCATGGACAGATCTCTATCGAAGATGTTCGACGCCATGAGCAAGCCTACCTTGTTCAAGCCGACAGCCGCAGCAAGCAAAGCTCTCTCCACCTGCAGCTCTGCATCTACAAGTCGCTCACGGAATCTGCCCAAGCTAAAGTCTTACGGGACAAAAATCTCTTCACCATGAATGGAATGAGAGGCGGATTGGCGTATCTGAAGGTGGTCCTCCTGAGGACAACTCCCGCCAGCAACTCCAATGTGAATCACATCCGACGTCAACTTGCAAAACTTCCCGAGTACATGACCAAGGTTGGATCAAACGTTGAAAAGTTCAATCTTCACGTTTCCGAGCAACTTGAGAACCTTGCCCACTATGGGGAGGAGTCCAAGGATGTACTGATCCACCTGTTTGAAGGGTACAAGGCAGCATCTGATAAGTCATTTGTTTCATACATTGAGAGGAAAGAAGAAAAACATGAGGACAACTCCGAGCCAACCAATGAACCCAAGCTCATGCAAGACGCCGAAAACTATTACAAGAATCGTGTTCGGGACCAAACCTGGAATCGCCCTGATGAAAA